TTATTGTAATGTGATTTTTGGTCTTCTGGATATATACCTAATAAAGGAATTGTAGGATCAAATGGCAGGTTTATTTTTAGTTCTCTGAGTGTTCTCCAGATGTACATTCATTTTGTGATTCATTCAGCATTATAAGTTCTTCGTTGTGGGTTCTAGGAAATTCTTCACTTGGTCTATTTAGATTAAAGTATTTCTTTAATGTGTATCTGTTACCCCATCATGTTAGTTTCAGAAATAGTACTTACTACCAGTATAATCTTAGTCTTGGACATGGGAGGGGAAGATCTAATAGCCGTACTACTGACCAATGTAAATTTTAGATTATTAGCTTTATCTTGTCATAGTCAAGTGTTATTTGGGTTTTTTTAAAAAAAATTTATAAAGTTTATTTTTGCAGAATTCAATTCTAACAATGCTAGCATGCAGCAAACCTTCCTTTAATATCTAAAGTTTAATCTTATTATCATAGATATATACATTATTTTCATTCATATAAAGTTTCCATAAGGAGCTTGCAATGACAATAAAGGTTGTCCCTCAGTATTCATAGGGGATTGGTTCTAAGACCTCAGTGTCACTGAAAACCATGATGGTTATAATTATATTTTTGTCTTATTTGGTAGGCTATACCTTTCTAGAAAAGTTGTAGTATTTTCTCAGTCCTCTTTATTAAGAGAAAGCCTCGACAGCGTTTTGAGTAATTTCTCCCACTCCAAATTGAAAATCTTCATGGATGAGCCTACCTTACTGTTTTTTTTTTTAACTCTGCATTATTTTGGCAGGTAGACATAAAGAGGTAGGCTTAGGATTTTCTTGAGATTCCTCTCTTTTCTTTAAAAGATAAAGGATCTCTGTTCTTGGTAAAAGCCCTGTTACAGAAACTTTTCCGTTTTTCCCATACTTTACTCGTCATGTGTTTCTTGGTAGGTCTGGATGAGGGACTATTCAGGAATCTGAAATACAGTAAAGATAAATTATTGTTGAGTATATGTTTAATGTCTCTTGGTGGTCCCTCTCACTATTACCCCTATTGTTTTATTAAGAGAATTTTTTGTAGTGCTAATAGCCACGTATTTGTAGGACTACTTCCAGTTAGAATACATTTCCATGTATTCTTTTGGCTAAAATTTTTGTTTAAGTACCAACATATAGTTACCATTTTAATTCTATCTAATTTTATTTGCTTTTTAATATGTCTTGA